ACTAAGATGAAAGGGCCAGCCTTTCCTTGCCAGTATTACCGTCTTGTCCGTGCCACTATTATATATATTATATACGTTATTCACAACAGAAGAACGAAAACAAATAACAAGATAGACATATATATAAAGGGAAAAAAAAAAACAAAAAAAAACAAGAGAATATTTAGAATTTGATGTAAACTTTAATCATTCCTATTTCTGACGAAGGTCACTTTGATGCACCGAAACGTCAAAATAAATAAATAAAACATCATCATTAAAGGAAGAGAATTACTATGAACTATGAAAATAATATTATCTTGACGACTTTCATATTGAAATATTAATAACGGATGACGCATGATAAACGGAAGAAAATGTTTTTCTCTTCTTAGAGCATTGTTCAACATATTAGAGATTTTGTTTTAAGTTTATTTGATAGAGAATTTCCTGCTCTACAAAACTATTGTCTCTGTTTTTCAAATAGCGTTTTTCTTTTTGCCGACACAAAATTTAAAATACGAACACCTACTCGATCGTCTAACGACGATGGCCCAAAAAACGAAAAAATTTTTCTATAAAGACTTCGTTAATATTTTAAATATGCTACAAAGTTCTTCACAAAATCCTGTATGTTTTGATATATGTTTCAGGATTTCAGAAAAAATATATGTGAGTAAAAGTTTTGAAGTAAAAAGTCAGCATTTTTGAAAACAAAACGGTACATTCTGTACACAACTTCTAAAGTTACAAAATCTCTATCCAAATTTTTTTTCGAGTATGTCTACATTTTTGAACAGAAATCAATTTACTTGTCGTAAGTAACGTGATGGAGCATGGATGTACAAACGAAAATAATGCTCTTATAACCAAATAAGAAGCCGGAAATCAATTTCAAACACTATAAATCCTTCTTCAGAATCTCTAGATGATGGTAGGACATCAAATTTTTTCTGAAACTTGATAGGATGTCTAGAAAACCGGTTTTTAAAAGGATGTTTTTTTCTGAGTCCGATCTCGCTAAAAATTTCACCATAGATGTGATTCATGCCGTGGAGTCTACCCTAGGGTTTTTGTAGTTTTTCTTGTATAGCTAGAGAGATATTTACTAATTATTTTTTAATTAATAGTCAGCTAAGAAAGGCAACATTTTCACATATGTCTATGCTAAAAGAACTCACTCATAAAAGTAACTCTTTTGAATAATCAAAGTTAAAGAAAAGATGGGTATGTTTCGTTTTGCCTGAAATGGTCCATGTATCTCGAAATAATTTGCACTCGGTTTATTTAACTTGTCAAACATTTGTTAACTAAAACTTGTGCTTTCATTGCATTGACAAGTATTTATTTATCTACTATTGATCAATTTGTTCGTAACATCAGCTCAATTATTCAGGCAACGAGCGAAAAATCTTAAATCAGCTCATCATCTTCTCCTTATAACGTGAATAATATGATTCTTACACGGTATTATATATACTATAATATCCAATATTCAAGATAGTTATTGAATAGACTAGAATGTGATATTTCTTAAAGATTATAAACAATTTTATTTTTCAGTTCTTTATCATGCATGATTTTTATTAATTAAGGAATCATTTAATTTACTTTCTTTGTACATTATTAAATAAATCAATAGATGATACATCTCTTTTATTCAATAGAAATTTCCATCACTAAATAAAAACAATGGCACCTCTATAAGTTTCTTTCGTTTTTATTACAATGCCATTCATAATTCAAACCACATCTCTATTTACTTTAGCAAAGTTTTTACAGATCCATAGATAAATATTAAATAACAATTTATCCATGATTTTCTTAAATTTTAGGTGTTTTTTTCCGCCTATTCATCATTGTGTAAGTTTCAAGAATTTTTTTTCTATTTCTAAAGAAAAAATAATGTTTATTTTAAGTCATATTTTATATGCTTTGCTCATCAACTAAATATAAAAATGAATAGAGTTTCATAAGTATTATAGATTTTTTCTTTCTACCCGACTGTACAAAAAAAAGAATGACGAATCAAAATTTAGTTGTCAAAAAAAAAAAGGAATAAGAAACGGACAAATTAATCCGAAAGCACTGTTGTATTGTTTTATATAAGAGATATGCAAGTTGCAACATGTTAATTATTCAGCAGCATCTGATGACGCTTTGTAGTTCATATCCAAAATACTAACAAGTTGATCGAATTCTTCAACTTTCGATTCAAATATACGTAATTCTTCATTCAACTGGTTGATTGTTTCACCCAGTGATGGTTCAACAACAAATGATTCAAGCATTGGTGGTTGTTGACATGAACGAATAAACAAAGCTAAATCATCTGTTGAATCACTTTTACCAAAAAATGGTTTCTATTAAAAAAAAGAAAAAAAACCCATCAATTAGAATTATTCAATGAATATTTATTTATTAATCACATACCACTTCAACAAGAATAAAATCATCGGGTGCTGTTTCATTTTCTGAATCACCACCTAGAAAATAATTATTTTTCGAATTTTGTTCTTGTGATTGATCTTGTTCCATTAAATGCTGTTGTTGATGAGTATTTTCTTGTTGTTGCATCATAAGTACAAATGGCAAATCATTGTCATTCGTACGAGTATATGAACTCATATGTGATGGATGCGCTGTTGTACCGGGTGTTGCAAAAGCTGCACGTAATTTACTATAATAGACTTTATCAGGTGTTCTTAAAAGAAGAATAATATAATTATAAAATGTATAAGTTTATGATTAAATTTACCCATGACTGGAAGAAACCGAGTCACAACTTGTATGTCTTCGTTTTGTTACTTCAATAGGTGAACTTTTCGGTACACTGGAATTATGTGCTGATGGCAATTGTGCATCACTATCTCTAAACATAAATAGTGAATATATATACAAGGACACTCAAAATTGATCCTGTACCTAACCGATCACCTTGTTTTTTTAATACGGTAGTTGCAAGAAGTCCCATCACTGGATAAAAAGTATATAAAATTCAATCCTTTGACCTGATATTTCGACTACAAATAGGGATCACAAGCAGCAATTCGAGATCGATAGACCTTAACGCAAAAGATTTACGATTAAAACACTGACTTTTTTGTCACTTTTCTAGTTTTCTACTATTTAAATGTATTCACCTCCATTTTCTTATTAACAAATGAAGGTTTGAATATCTATATCGTGTTATAGATAGGGTAGTCCAATCCGCTATAATCTCGAGGTGCAGAAAAGCCTCCATTGTTTGCGACGGTCTCCACATAGATCTCTTCTCCACTAAAGACTGCAATCGTGGAATTTTCCAAGAAAATTTGATTGGAGCAAAGCACTCACTAAAGCAAACCTCAAGATAAATGATTTAAAGTAGCGGAAGATATAGATCACTTTTTGACGATCTTCATCAACTCTCATATGAAGATTATCCGAAGAATACTTCATAAATCAGACAAACTAAAACTGTTTTCTATTTTGAGATATCCTCGTCTGAAGAAAAAAAAAATCTATGTTGACTTTCGAGTTCAACATGCTCCATTTGTAGTCAAACTATGAGACTTAAAGATTAATATTTAGGTAATTTTTGCAACTACTGTATCTGACGATAGTTTCAATAAATTGAATTGCGATTTTTCGTCAAAATTTAACTCGGTTTTCATAGTTTATATCCTCGAAATATTAGTTCTCTGTGTTAAATATTAACTCTGCTAGACTAGATATGTACTAAAAAAGCACATATTATAATTAAAAGTCTCGTATTTTATTCTTTTGATCGAGAAGTTACACTTTCTACAATGAAGTGAAATTTTGTTAACACTTTTTGCAAATGTCTCATTCCCGTTGAAAAGAATGAAATACGACGTAAAATACTCAGCCATTTTGCATGTGGTGTCAGATCAATTTTGAACAAAATTGAAACACATCGTTCTCAGTACTTCTAGTCTGACAGAGTAAATACATGATATCACGAGTTGATAAACTATGAATACGGAACTATAGTTTCGCGAAAATTGTAGCTTAATTTGTTGAAACTATATTGGGATATTAGAAAAATAAGTCAATCAGTATGATCAATTTTGAGCATCACCAAGGGATAAACAGTAGACTTCAAGACTGAAGTTTCTTCCTCGGACACCACTATGTATATATATATATATATTGTTTCTCTTTAAAATCCACTTACTCTTCAACACTATGTTGATTTCTATCCAATGAAAAATGATCATCTCTAATATCCATACCAAATTGTGTCATAGCACTACTTGTTCCACTATCCATTTGTGGTGATGACATTGTTAAACATGTACGATAAGCAACATTCAATACAAAACGTCCAATAGGTGTAACTATACTTCCAATTGTTTTTTTTGAATAATGTTCACCAAGATGACTAACAATAGGTTCACCACTATACATTTTATAACAAATAATATATTTATCTGCGGATTGTTTACGTGATAATTGATATGTTGGTGTTGCACGTGTACAAGCAACTAAAGATCGAAGTACAACACTCATACGATTATATACATTAAATCGAACACGTTGTGCTGGATCGAATATTGAATCATCGAATGATATGCACCATGTTTCTAATGTAATTGTATCACCATCAGGTGTACGTAATGATATTTCAACACAAAATGGACTGTGTGGAGGATTGATTAGGAGATGTTGAGCATCTCCTAAACATTTTTTTGCATTTACAGTCACTTCTGGGATATCTTTAATCGATAGATGAAACTAAAAGAAAAGGGATAAGATCATTTTATGAAAATCATTATTATATATTATATTTAATTTTTTTACCCATTCACTTCCTGAATAAACAGGCTTAGATTTTGTTGTTTTCTTTTCACCTAAACGTGATTGTACAATAATTTGTGCTGCTTTAACTAAGAAAAATTTTGTAAATTTTTCCAATGCTTCATGATCATCATTACTTAATTGATAATCAGTCATATCTGAAAGAAAAAGATACATAAAATGTTTATATTTTCTTTTGTTTTTTATTTATTGATCTATTAATAAAAACAATATTGAATAATAGTTAAACTTAATTCAAAAATAAATGGTAAAAAAAGAATAAATAATAATATTGATTGTACTATTGTTAAAATACGTTTTTGAGATATTGTCATTGATGATAAAAGATAATACGAACAATTTGTTATTGCTATTGATCGATCAATCCATTCATTAATTATTGTTTGATCATCAAGATTTGATAAACTTTCATTAATTGTTACACATGTTTTTATTGTTGGTAAAATGAATTCAGATGTAACTAATTCACACCAATGATTAGTTTTATTTTCTATATTTGTCATATAACAAATATTATTTTCTAGATTCGTATGATTAAATAAAACTATTGGATATAATTCAGCATAGATTGTATTAAAAATGAATATTAGAAAAAGAAGAACTAAAACTGCTGTCATATTCTTCTTTAATTAGATTTAAATGACTAAGACAGAGAGAGAGAGAGAGTGAAAAAAAAAAGAAAAAGAACATATTGTTTTGGTTTTCTTTTATTTCAATTTGAACACTATGAAAAAAAAACCGATCAAACTAGAGTGAAAGTATTATAAGAGTTAAAGAAGGATTACAATAATCTAATAATAGACAAAAGGACAAGTCTTAATGAGCGGCTGGTTTTTGCATATCTTCAGTTATACCAAAATCACTTAAGTCAACAAATTGTCGTTCAGTTAATTTGAACCAATGTCCTATAGACAAAATTAAATATTCGAAAAAAAGAAAACAAAATTATATATTATTTATTTCATACCACAATAACATCGTTTTGGTTCACCACGATGAAGATGCATCCATTTCAAGTGATATACGTCCTCATTACCTATAAATATATGTATAGAAATAATCATTTTTATAATTCTTAGAAAAAGAAAAACAGCTTCTATTCAGGACTCTAGATATTTTTTAGAAGTGAAAGAAGCTAAAAATTTGACAATAGCCTGTCTAACAAAAAATAACTGAGAAAAGCTGCGTTATTAAACTTGACAAACAGATTTCTGGCAACAACTCAAAACTTCTACAGACATGACAAAAAAATTGAGGAGTATGGCTAACTTCTCCCACATCGGGACCTACACTTTTATTTATGTGATACATAGATAATAAGTATAAAATAGACTTACAGATACAAGCCATTAGTCGTTTATCATTACAACTTGGTAATAAATTTGGATTTTCTGCTGTGCTATTTTCAATACGTTTAACTGGCATCATATCGAATGGATCATCATATCCTTTGAATTTCTACAACATAAAATAGACATATAAATGAAAATTAAATCTTTTTTTATTTATTACAAACCATAGCATATTCAAAACGACGCTTGTTAAGGATAACATCCCAAGGGTTTGGGAAACCTTTGAAGAAATAAATTATTAGATTTGCATAAATCAATATAGATATATTAACTTACGAACTTTGCCGTCATCGGGAGGTAATGGTCGTTGACTCATTGGTGAATTATTTGGATCATCACTTGAACTACCTGGTGTTGAAACAGCTACTGGTTCTTCGGTTTTTCTATTTCCACTTGATGCTGAAGCCTTACGGATAACAGCTAATGTATTGACACGAGGAAGTGTACTAAGAGTAGCACATCGACCACTAGCAGCTATATGAGCTAGCATTGTTTTTTTTGCTTTTTTATTTCGGAAAAAACAATTTATCTACAATAAAATTTATGGTAAACGATCTCAAGAATATCAAAACACGAGGCTCAGGGAAAAAATGGATTGTGGATGGTGATAGACAAAGAGAGAGATTTCATTTTTCTATTCCTATTGGACAATGATAACCAATTAGATTTGATCTATTTAGTTATGCATTTTTTATTTCAACTTAAAGAATTATTAAAAATTCAAATGCATTTATAAATTTGTTTTTCTTAATTTATAGAAATATGTTTTAAACCATTCATAGATATATCATAGGTTAGTCAATAGTAACCGAATCAATAATGGCGATTTACATATTCTGTCAGAAGACATCATTAAATCACCATCGGACATTATAATGAATGCAATATATTTTCTTATTTGCATTCTCATCATTCTTCAACTCAATCCATGTAATTATCTTTTAATTAAAACATTAATTTAAACCTTTTTTCCATAGATATTGTTTTAAGTCAACGTGATTTTGACAATCCAGCTGTTACTGATCCCGCTCCATGTTCATGCGATGTTCGAATTAATGTTTGTGATTCAAACTGTTGCTGTGATTCTGTTTGTCGTTTAAAATTGTATGAAAATTTTCGCTAAATTTCTTTTTTTTTCTGTTTATCTAGGATTGTGAAGATTCTGATCTGGAAGTATCACCAATATGTAAATCAATACGAACTACTGCTTCTTATGCTTCTGCGAATCAACTAAGTTTTCAAACATGGAATTGCTCGAATAGTACATCAGCAGCTCTATATGATTATTTTCCATTTGTTTGTGTACAAGTATGTTATTATAATTCAATAAAATAGAATATTATTATCATTTGAATATAGTTTGAGCTTAATGAAGTTCTTGGAAGATTTTATTCAACAAGAAATATAACATTTTTAAGCAGATATGAAGATGCAACAAATCTACGTACAACATTTGTTAATAAATATTCAGATTTATTTCAACCGACAACACTATCATCATCTTCTAGTACAGTAAATTATTCTATAGGTGCTCCTATTAAACAACCATCAGATATATTATTTACATTACCTGGAAATTTAGCTGGTATGACTTGTCAAGATAATGTAAATGTTTTATTTGGAATTAATCGTGATATTTCATGTACATCGACTGCAATATCTGTATAATATTATATATCATATTTCTTTTTTTGTTTCTAATTCAATATTGTTTTTCTTTTTCTACACAGAATCTTTATACTCGTATAAATTCTGCAACATCATTTTTGAAAGGTGGTGATTCAACTTCACTTGTAAACGTCACTTTTTTTACACAAATATCTTCATCATCTACAACAAATATAAGAGATTCTACAAGCGAATATTATTTTCGAATTCCAAATTCTCCAAATATCAATGATATATCATTTACTAATGGTTCTATTTATGATTACTGTCCTGGTAGATATCCAATTACACGAACTCAACGTTATCGTTCTGTTTGTAATGTAACTGATATTACCTTATGTAGCAATCAATATCAAACATGGAGTAGATGTCCATTGAGAGATAGTTTACAATATAGTGAAATTGATAGTAGTTTTTTTGTTGCTGCAAATGCCTCAATAGATGATTCAACAAATTTTGCTGATTTTAAAAATGCAACAAATGTTACACGTATGTTTTTTCGAAAGTTTTTTTTTTTAAATTTTATTTCTACTATCTTTTGTTTATTTTATTTTTTTCATTGCTTTTTATAGCAATACCTTGTTCAGGCAATCTTATTCAACGAGTATTTTATCGTTTTAATTATTCATCGATTGATAATACCATATCAACTGTCGAAGTTTTCGTTCTATGTGCAGCTCCAAGTGGAACTTCACCAAATCCACGAATTACAATTGAATGGAATAATATTGCAAATATTCCAGCATTATCTACAACTATTCCTCGTATGAATATGTTTTATTCTAGTAATTAATAATTATCGTTTAATTTAGGTGGTTATCTTGATGGAGAAGTTCTTCAATTTCGACGTAATACTGTTCCTTCAGATGTATCAACATTAGTTCCATGTAAAGTTTTTTTTCTTCTTCATTTTTAATTTCTAAAACAATTTATTGTATTTATCAAGCTTCTAATGGTTTATGTATTGATGCTACACGACAAAGTCTTCGTTATAAAAAAGGTACTTCATCATATTGCTTTATTCAATTACAGAAAGCTACTATACAACAATGTCATGGTCTCAAGTTAGTTTTTTTTTTTTGAAATAAATTCAGTTTTATCTTTGTCTTTAATTTTTAATAGACTTAATATGTATCTCTATTTAAATACATTTTATGCTCCAGCATCGCATGTTCTTGCATATCCAAGTGCAAATGCAACATTAATTCAAATACGGTAGATCTATACAGTGCTAGACAAAAGTAGCTGTCCACCGTGAAGAATTATTATTCTTTATAATATTAACCTAATATTTTGAGTACATGCGTATGACAATAAGCCCTAATTGCAAGTACTAACTTAGCCTCTATTAGTTTGCATATATTAGTGTTACGATTCAAACATCATTTTCCTCTTGTGATCACCCTATCAAATATTTTCAATCAAAGCCCAATGTTGTATTTATTTCTAGTCTGAATTTTGTCAGAAATCACTTTAAATTGATTAAGATATTGTTATCTTACTAAGAACGTCGATTAAAATGCAAACGCTGGTTTTTAGTAAGATTGATCTTTCACTATAGCTGTTACCAGAAAATTTTCATGAGACAACGAGTGTGTGCTGAAAGTTTTTCAGTCGCAGCACTGACCGGAATTGAGTTAGTGTTGTGACTAGTGTCCTGTACGGGTCATACTTGGAACCGGACCGGCCGGTCTTCACCGGTTTTTTACCGGTTTTTTTAAGAATTTTGACAACTAAAACTTGCTTATTTTGCTCATTTTTAAGGATTTTTCATGGAATCAATGGTGAATCGGTTTCATTCGGAAAATTTCCCACTGGCAAAACTTCAATCGTATTGGAAATACCAGCTCTAAATATTGACCAACACTCTTATCCTTTCATTAGAGGCTCATATTATGTCGAATGAATTCATTATACTCACGAAAAGTTAGCTAGATTTTGCAAGCTGCTGTCGATTTAATTCAACATTTTTCTTGAAATTTCGGATCACTTGTATGTCGTAATCTTAGCTGATTTTCATAGAAGCCCAATAGCCACCAGTATTCAAATTCATGCTTTCATAGCAAAATGTTTTGAATAAAATCGTTTCTGTTGTCACGGTCTTTCTAACTAGTAGCATCATGCAACCGCGATAATATTTAGGTATCAATAAACCTCAAATAGAAGGTCTAATGCAAAATCTTACCAATTAGCTCACATTATCTTCCTCTCTGCAGTAGCATTCTTCTGTGGAATGGAATACATTTCAACTGTGTTAAGGAACTAAGTATTTCAGATAAGAATAGACTAACCCTATCAATGGTAAAGAAATCATATCGTTATTTGAAAAGACTCACAGAATAGTTAGCTGGTGTTAAATCCTAGTTGCTGTGAGCCCTAGTCAAAACTTTTTGAAAGAAATTTTCATTGGTTCTGAATATTAGCATACAAAACATGACAAACTAAAAATGAAGTCGCTGCTATTAGAAGCTCCAAGAATCGTATGAGTTTGATATTATATGTCTTAGTAGAGCTAAACTAACAAACTGTTTCGTAAAAACATTGGCTGTTTAGCTAATACACGAGTGCACTGTATTTTTCGTCAGTTAAATCAAGAA